TATGTATATATGTATATATATATATATGTATATATATATATATATAGATTATCACAGTTTGACTATATTTTTGTAATATTGAAATGTTTCTATAGGGCTGGGACAAGAACTCAGTTGGTAAAATGCTGATGACCTGAGTCCAATCCTAGAATTTACAGAATAAAACTGGATGCAATTCTGCATGATCACAGTCCCAGTGCTGGGGCAGGGGGAAGGCAGTGGAGGCAGTGGAAGCAGAGTCAGGGCTCAATGGCCAGCCAACCTAACCTACTTGTTGAGTTTTTCCCCCTATCTGAATACACATGAATATATGCACATATACTTTTCATTTATCCCATCTAAAAATTGACAGTGAGAAATTCTGTAGCCTTGTCTGGGTATTTCTGTATTTTCTTTTTAATCTACTAGAAGAGATAGAAATTCCTTTGATGTCTGAGAGGTCCTGGCCTTGCTTGCCTAGCCTGCCTTTGAGCCTCATCAATGAAGTCAGGAGGGGTGCACCTCAAGGTAGGATTAACGAGACAGTGTAGACTCTAGCAACTTCAGGGACACCGGCAGAGTGGGCTGTTCATTTCTTCAGAGTCTGAATTCATATGGCTGCTGCTGGCCTGCAGACACTTAATTCTTCCTTCCTTCCTTCCTTCCTTCCTTCCTTCCTCCCTCTCTCCCTCCCTTCCTCCCTCTCTCCCTCCCTCCCTCCTTCTTCTGCTTCTTCCCAGGGCTACATAGTTCTAACTCTGGCATTAGAGTGTCTGGCTGATGGCCCTTGCCAAACACTGACCCAGTACTTTACCATACTCTCCAAAGTGACTTCATCCTCCCAACTTGACATGGGGTTTCCAGCTCATCATAGAGCAGTACAAAGGGGGATACATGAATGCATGGGGCACCCTGGAACTGCCACACCCCAGAGGCACATAGAGCTGCCCAGAAGCTCTTTAAACCCAGTGTTTGGGGGGATTTTATGGAACTTCATTATATGTCCCTGATTGTTCATTTCTTCACCCTTCTCTTGTCAAGACCCAGAGCTTAAACAGCCCTAGCCTCCTAATCCTGCCTCAGTGACCAGTCCCCATCCTGAAATTTCTTGCATTTAGTTGTATGATTTCTGTGGATATGCTAAGGACTTCAAGGCCTGTATTCTAGGAAAGAGGTAGAGAACAAAGAGTAAACACATCTTTACAGCATCCCAGGTTCCTCCTGCTGCCTACATAGCACACTGCCTAGTGACCCCAGAACCCTGGGAGTCCTGGAGTGGCTAAGATGCCCTGATCTTGAGAAGGTCCTGAAGAAGCATACAGACTCAGCATTTGCACACAGTGGTTGGAAGATGGGCTTGGTACTCATTGGCATCTCGACTCTCTTGCCTTCTCTGTGACCTTGTCCTCATTTCCTCCCTTTCCTCCACCCCATTTTGTGCTCACACTCTGATGCTGTTGTACGCCGTTCAGAGTTGTTACGAGGATTAAGCAAAATCGCATTATAGCATCTTTGGCCCGGTGCCTGGTTCATAGTAAACTCTCAATTGATGTTAGAACTTGCTTTGGTTATATCCCTGGAAAGTGTGAAATGTGTAGAAGACGGTGAGGCTTCCAGCAGAAGAGGATGCCGAGATCTGAAAGGAAAAGTGATGTGTTTGGAGTCGAGGGTGGCAAGTTTTGCTTCATTCCTGAGCAGAAACTATTGGCTGCCACAAACCACACAGTCACCCATGGTCTGAGATCCCTGGTGAAAACAAGTGTGCAGTTGACTTCCTGTGCTACGGCATGCTGCAGGAGAGGGGAAAGGGCATAGGTGAAGCACTGGAGAGCCTGCCCAGCTTTGTCCCCTGGGGCTATTGGAGCCAGAAACCCAAAACTTTGGAAACAATGGTCCACAAAACTGGACTTCAGTTCTTTTCTAAAGTTGGGATCTTGTGTTACCTAGGCTGTCCTTGAACTCCTTATGTAGCTAAAGACGCCCTTGAATTCCTGATCCTATTGCTGCTGTTCCCAGTTTCTGAGAGTGCAGGTGTTTGCCACCTCA